GGCACAAGGAATCCCATAGTTAATTAATTCCATCTTGCAGTTATAAGGTATTCAAAATATAAAACTATTAATTTTCAATGCTTCTATTATTGAATTTAATTAATACTTACCACCTGATCTTTGATTAATGCTGTTAGTGGACTAAGAACTACTGTTAGCCCATCAAATATAATAGCAGCTGCAGTATAACAAAACGATTTTCCTCCCCCCGTTTTCATAACTAAAAACGTATCCTTTCTATATTCACAATAATTTATGATTGTTTGTTGTTGGTTTTCACGTAGGCTTTTGAACTCAAATATTTTAGTAGCAATAAGTGATATAATATCACTTATTGACATTTGTGTGCATTTTAGATTAGGCTTTTTTTTCTGATTCATCAAGAATTCGATCTAACCAACCAAGAGATATGTAGGTCTAGCATAATTTACAGAATCCGGATGATGTACATTTTTTAAATACATAACACCCTTTACATCTAATATGATTTTTGAAGTCATGAATTAGAGACCCAAATGATGGATAAAAAGTGTGATTTCGCAGTCATTCTTCTGCATGATACTTATATGAAACTAGCTCCTTACAAATAGATTTTTATTAGAACAAGTAAGTTTTTAAAATTTATTATTATAAAATGCACCTATAGTGTTTTGCACCTATTATATTTTCTTATAGATTTTTCTCAAATTTTGTAAGTTTTGTATGTAAAATTTTAACTTCATTTTTTATATTAAATTAATATTTAGAGCTAGGTGCATTTTTACTTAGAGTGTCACATACCAATTAATTAGCCAGTTTTGGAGATAATGCAACATAGGTGGCAAAACACCATAATTGCGTTTTAGTAAAGTCTTAAAATTATATTATTTAAATTTACCTGATCAAAATTAAATCCAATTAACTCCTTTTTATCATTTGCATATTTTTCAGCCCGTGCCTTATTCCGATTTATAATTGCTGCTTTGTTTTGTGATTTTTGATTTTTTCGTTCATTACTTATTTTATTAATATTATATAAATCCTCTCTACTAAATTCAACAGAGGTATAATTTTCACGAAGACTCTGCAAAACTGTCAAATAACCCTCATTATAGTGAAGAACAGCTAATGCATGTTTGGTTTCATAAGAACTCCAATAATCTATTTTCTTGTCAAGGTAAACAAGTTTAACCCTATTAAAAGCCTTATTTGTTGAAGTTCTAATATCCGTAATCAATCCTTGGCCTCTAGGCAAATGAAAAATAGATTTTAACATAACCTGAAAACTTTCAATATCAGTATCTAATATTCTTTGAAGCGTAGGTAATGGCAAAGCAATTTCAGGATTATCACGAATCCAGCATACTTCGGGCCAACAATTAGCATGATTACCACGTAAGTGATTTATAAGTCCTTCAACTTGCATCTCTTGTAATTCTTTTTCAGAAGGACTAATTAATTCCAAATCTTTCTTTCATAAACTAGCTGCAAAAATACAACTAGTAAAATGTTTCATGATATGTTGCTCATATGAATGCCAGCGACAATTTATTTTGGATGCTAATTGAAAGTTAGTATGACATATTTATTTTATATTATTAAATTGTGAATTTTTTAAAACATAATATACTTAATGCTTTTCTAATATTCTTTGTAATGTGTTTTAGGTCTGCAAAAATTTAATTGACTAGTGAAATATCGGCGAGAGTTTTATTTGTATCAAGGTCACTGTCAACACATATATTAATTAAAAAGTTATCTTTTTCCAATATAGGAGTTATTTTGCTAACCAATTCGTTAAGAATTGCATGCTCCATGTGTCGAGAGCTTTGTTCATGATTTCTTTGAATAATAATATGCTCTTTTTCTGTTTTTTTTATTTTTATACAACCGGGTTTTTTGAACGGTTTGGAAGGTGATAATTGGTTTATAATAATCTTCTTTTTTTTTTTTTTTTTTATATATAATTGAGATTAAGAAATTTTTTAGTAAATACTAATTTATATATTATTATATTTTTTAGACACTCAATCATCAAAATTTTTTAAATTTATATTTTCGAATAGTATTAATAGTTTTTTGTTAATAATAATTCTTTTTTTGATAACAATATTTTTTACTAATCTTACCTTCAAATTCTAGATGGCATATGAATTCACCACTTGCCTGTTTGGCATTTCTTCCATGTGACCATGATACATCAAAACTAATTGGAAGAATTTTTTTATGCTCGTTTAACTCCGTTTTAGTTAGATTAATTTGTTAAGTACTTGTTCAATGTGTTCTATACATTTTGTAATTGTATTATTCGTTGACAATTTTGCTAATTCGATAATTTTTAAAAATAATTGATGCTGATGATTATGATAAATTGCTTTGGAACATTGTGATGTAATACCGATGGTTGCCAAAAAACTTTGCACTGCATGTCGAGTAATTCTAGCCCCTAATCTACCTGCAGCTACCGCTTTTGAAAAACACATATCCTTTTTTTCGTTTGAAATTTCTATGATAGTTTTGTATTCTTTACATCGAATAAAGCATTTAATTTTAAACCCTATAACTATTAACTGGCAGTCTCGTTTTGAAATCAGATAATTTCCACAATTATTGCATGGGTTTTCAAAAACCAATGATAAGTATGTTTTTGTATCTACAAGTAATGTCGAACCGAGCTTCTATTTCTCAATTAAATTATCGATAGTCATGTATAATATTTCATCATAGGACGAATCTATATCCTGATCAGGTAAATTTATTAATTTGGTAATTTTTTCTTTTAATCTTGTAATAGTTCTCTTGGTATTCTTTAACTCATTCTTAACTGTGTTGTATTCGACTAATAAGGCTTGAGTTTCCTGAGGTGATAGGTATTTTCTAAACTTATTAAGAACTATTCCTTTCCTTATAGAGGTTTCCTCTGTTTCCATAGCTACTTGTAATTGATATTTCGTTCGGGTAAGAGAATTTTTTAATGTTTTTTCAGTATTAAATGCCTTTACAGTTTGTGAATATTGATTGAAAAGATTTGGATATTTTCGTGTTATTGTTTCTTGTAAAAACTGAATATTATCT